GCACACAGTCAGGTACTCTGCAGTGTACACACTGCATGGTCCACTGCCTGGACTGTTCCTTTTTTGGATGTCCTATGTTACCTGTTTGTATGTCCTCTGTCTACCCTTCATTTGTCATCTAGGAAGTTTTACTTGAAAATTTATGAGTCTCCATATGTCAGCTCCAATTCTGGTTACTGTACCTCCATAGTAGTATAAAAGCATGTGTTGTACTCCAATGTTCTTCAGTACAAATATTGACTTAGTTCCTACTCCCTCTGTCTCTGTCTTCTGCTTGTCAGAGTTACCTCTGACTTTCCATCTGTGCTCTCCCTCTGAAATACAAGGGCTGAGATTGTGCAAGGGGGTAGCACAAGAGCTAAACCCAATGCCCTCACTCTGCTCTGCCTCTGTCTCAGTGGACTTCATTCCTGCCAACACTCCACCAGTCAGAGTCCTGCTCTCCTGTGTCAGACTTGCTTCCAAACCTCTCCCCAGACCTCATCTAGCATTGGAGTTGGTCAGAGTAGGCCCAGACTTGACAGTTGGTATTTACATATACATAGTACTTGCATGAAATCATATACCTATGCACCATCTGATAGGAGTGCTTATGCTGCACCAATAAGTAACTGATGCTCCCTATTATAACCAGTTGGCTGAGTAGGGTCAAAACTTCCAGTGTGGTGGAGCCTCTGAATGCCAACAGTAAGTGCATCAATGAGAGCCTCCAGTGGCACACCTTCCACCAGACCAACACCTGTCAACAGCAATCTCAGCAGCTCCATAGTTTCCTGAAGCTGTTCAAGGCCAGAAAATGTCCCAGCCAAATATCATGCAGCAGCTGTGCAACAACTGACAACATCCTTGAGTGCTTGCATCTGGCTGTCTAATCTCAAGATGTGCCACCTGTTCAGACCCACCACTGTAAGGATGTCAGTAAGTACATCTGACTTCTTGACCATCAAAACACTAGCCTCCATCGCCGCCAGGTCATGAACAACCTCTAAATGGTACTCAATGCTATCCAAATAGCCTTGGATCTCAACCACATGCCAGATAAGTAGGGACAATGAATGCTGAAACTGAAACAGGATATGATTGATTTCCTGCATGATGTGAAAATCTGAAGAAGAGCACTCATTAGAATGCAAGCTATTGCCAATACCATGACAATTTGCTGCTTTGATGGACAAAGGAGAGATCCGGTTCTGAAGCAAGTTAAGCAAATGGTTGTTGACTGTCAAAATGCTTTCCATGCTCATCAGTGAGTGAACTTCTGAGAGTAGCATATGGGAAGAACATACATGTCCACTGTGCCATGTACCTGTGCCAGAAGTTTCTGAAGGTTCTGAGATGCCTCCTTTGTGTCTGTTGATATGGCAGCAAGTTCCTCTGCAAGTGGTGTGGAAGAGCTCAAGGAACTTGCTCTCATGGTGCTAGCAAGATTGCTGACCAATAGACAGGATTCTGTCAATGCTGAGATGAGCAGGGTAACCTCAGACACATCATACAACAACCCCTCCAATGCTGAAAACTGTGTTTGAATGGTGGATGAGAACAAGGTTGTGGAATTGCCAGCTGGCACAAGGAATGGACAGAGCAAGTCAGGCAGTAAACCTAACCTGCAGGTCATGCTAGTGATGGGTTGGACCATTTTCTGAACTTGGGCAGCAATGGATGACAGGATGATGCCCAAGGCTAGGTGTCTGAGTGGAAGGAACAACAGGAAGGATGCAAATAAAAGTATCACACAATACATGAGACACATGGCCTGGCTGATAGAGGGGAAGTTCACTCTGGTGTAATGCTGGGTGGAGGTGTACATTTATCTTGAAGAAGACAAAGAACCAGAGATGCCACATTCCAGGTGTCACTAGGGAGAAACCATAAGTAATTTTGATGGGGCCATAAACTCATACTTTGTTGTGGACCTGCTGGGGGGACACCTGGCAGATCACAGAAATGTGCCCTTTGGTATTGTTATCATCACAAAGCCTGAAATGCATGAGGTAATGAGTTTTCCAGACCTGGAAAAGGAGGTGAGCAAACCAAATAACAATTTTTGATTTGTTGGAGGTCATGTGCAAGCAAGACAGCCAGAAAACAGGCCAGATAATTGGTCAAGGATTGTTAGAGGACCATTGCATGGGAACCCTGAGTATGATGAAACTATCCCAGTGATTGCCTTTATTGGATGTTTCAAGGTCATAATATGATCATGTCATCTGTCATCCATCATCTGTCATCTGCTGTTTGTCATTTGGCCACTTTGCTTCCTGAATCATGTCCACATATACAGCAAATGATGCACAACATCAGGGGATTCTCCAGTAGGTGATAATATATGTATATAAGCAATGAATTTAGCAAGCAGGCCTTTGTGCATGGAGATAGCACACAAAGACAGCATTGTATCCTCAGTTTGCAAGAGACCTCATTCCATCAAAAGGGAGTTTCTGAATTCCCAAATGTCTGGTTACAAGACTATGTCATGTCTCATCATGCAAAACTTCTGTGTCACTGAGTTGGTATCAGGCTATAAAAGTGTTTGGTGGTGCTCAGAAATGATAGGGGTGAAGCTTCAGCATCATGCATCATGGCAGCTTCCCACCATATACATATGTGTAATAAATGTTGTGAAACTGATCTTGCAGTAGTGGCTGGCTGGACAATTTTATATTTGATGCTCAGATTTGTTGGACTGTATCACCTTTGATTCCAGGATGCATAAGCAAGTCCTGGTCTGTGAGGACTTTTGTAATGCTCTCCCATTCCAGACTGCTGGTTCTGAGCATGTCTGGAGGTAATGATTGGCAATGCATTCACACAAGTAAGATTTACAGTGGTTTCTCTCCATTTTCAAAATGTTTAGTTTGCTTTCAATGTGGGATCATTAGTGGCTGGGATTGTTCTTCAGTTTTTGTTGAAGCAAGATATGATAAGGTGATTTTCACTGTTTTCTGTAGTTTATTTCTGATATTTTATGTAACTCCTGGTTATAGATGTCTTTGTTGACTAAAAGTGATGACTGTATCATGGTTTCTTGGAGCAATACAGTGTATATCCAGGGTTTCCAACAAGCTGTCAATTCTTACATAAACAGAAAAGTTGCAGCCAGTTACTGCAAGTACCATTCATAGGCACTTCAGTCAACCACCTTTGGAGACCTATTAGGTCTACATATTTTTACAGATGTATATACCTATGAGGTCTTAATAGGTCAGGTATCCCCAACCACTGGTGGGGAAAGGTTTTTCTCCAGCACCATGCCTGGGGATTCTCTAGGCCCCCTTTGGATTTCTCCACAATTAATATATGTTTCCCCAAATATGTGAGAGTGACTGGGGTCCATATGGGCCTTTTTCCAGCTGAAATAGGGTATCCATTGGACTTTCTCCATGCCAATGAGGACCCAAATGAGGGTTTCCCCAGCTGAAATAGGATCTCCATTGGACATTCTCCATGCCAAAAAGGACCCAAATGGGGGTTTCTCCAGCTGAAATAGGACCTCCATGGGACTTTCTCCATGCAAAAATAGACCAGAATGAGAGTTTCTCCAGCTGAAATAGGGCCTTAATGGGCCTTTCTCCATGCAAAAAAAAACCCAAATAGTGCTTTCTCCAGCTTAAATAGGGCACCAAAAAGGACCCAGTTGGTGCTTTCTCCAGTGTCTCCATGGGACTTTCCCCATACCAAAAAGAACCCAAATGAGGCTTTTACCAAATAGGTTGGGAGATTCTCCAAACAGGTATGGGGAATCTCCAAGCAAGTGTGGAGAATCTCCAAGTGAGTTGGGAGAATCTCCAAGCAGGTGTGGGGAATCTCCAAGTGAGTTAGGAGAATCTCCAAGCAAGTGTGGGGAATCCCCAAGTAGGTGTGGGGAATCTCCAAGTGGGTATGGGGAGTCTCCATCTAACTGTGGAGAAGTGACATTTAGTGTAAACAATTGTGTTTTTCCAAGTATTTTGTATTTTTCTCACACAAAATTCCACTTTCTGATAAGATAAGTATATGGTCATGATTGTACAATCAGGGGCTACAACTTTTATTATGATGACATCACTCCATTTACACTTCCTGGGGTGGTAATGTAGTACCAGTACTGGCTATAGTAGTTATTAGTGTTGTGTAGTGTAGGCTATGCTACACTTTGGTAGTGTGCATTTTTGACTACCATTGACTACAAAAAGTGTAGCATTGAGTGGTAGTGGTCAAGTCACATGACAAAAGATCACATGATGCAAGGTCATGTGCAGTGATCATGTGACCGATTATGTAATGGTCATGTGCACCAGTGTCATCCAAATGTGATGCTACTGCAATCACATGACAGAGAGTCACAGAGCAGTGTGGTTGACTGGTCATGATCAGGCACTTCAGGTGCCTGGGGAGGACTGTCACATGATCTTATTAGTTACATGTAGGCATGAACCCAGTGTCACATGACATCACATGACTGTACTCACTCCATGTTTGACACTGTGAACCTGGCATGTGACCAAGCCACCTCTGAATGCATGCTGTTCCAGAGTGTGGCTGTGCTACAACATCAATCATGTTACTACTCATTCATTCCTCAATGGAATGGTCTGTATTTCAGTAGGTGAACCAGTCTACATAGTACCTATATCATGTCCAAAGATGTCCAAAGATCAACCAATCAAAATCTCAGGTTGCTGAGATATAACAGGATTGAAAACAGCCAGAAAACACCCCACCATGCATCCCTTACTGGGTGCATATGCATCCAAAGGATGCTGGCAGCAAAGCCTGGTTGATGGATGGAAAGGGGTACATGGTTGCATCAAAGCCATACAAGGAATATTTGAGTGGCACTAAAAATGTGGTTGAGGTGGGTGATGTGTGGGAATGTATTACCTGATGGACTGATCACACTACAAGATCTTGGATTGCAGCAATCATCAGGCAGTGAATCAAGCAAATGCCAACTGGCAGCAGCTTGCATCCACAGGAATAGGTGGATGTGCACAGTGCCTGGCCAGCAAATGATACATTTTTATGATATTAACTGCCAGTATTGCAAAGGCTTAGCACAATGGCTACATACCAATGCCTATATATCCATGCTGGATGGCATGCAGATCTGCCCTGGCATTGGGTTGTGGCATGTTCATGGCCACTGCACAGAATGCTTTGCACAATATGCTCCCAATTGCATTGTGGATGCTGGCCAGGTGATTGCTAACTGGTCAGCACCTCTCCATCACAACCCACAATCCCATGCTGACTGGTATGACATGCTCATTAGTGTCAGCAATTAGTCTGAATGTGTTCTTGACATTCCCTCTCTTGGTCTTCAATTTGATTACCAGCCTGGCACTGTTGTAGCCTTTTCTGGCTGGCTTTTGTGGCATGGTGTGAATGAAGTGTGGCATTCTACATGTGGGACAATATTCACAACTGGCTTGGAGTCCTTCAAAGTGATTGGATGTGCATTCTGTTGGTGTGGCAGGCTCTCTCCAGCATGTAAATCACCCATGGCACATTGTATTGTATTGTATTGGTCATTATTTAATGCCCAGGGCATCCAGTATTGATTGGCACACTCCCAGTTTGAATGAAATCTATGAAATAAATACAATATTACTAGCCACCCTTCTGTGATCATATGAAGTATAGGTTATGATCTTACCCTGGTGGTAAGATATGCAGTAGACAACAATTCATGCTATGCTGCATGTCCAGTATCTATAGTAGCCTAGCTGTCTGTTGCCAAATACAGAACCATCCATGCTGGATGCCAAGTGCTGACATGAATCCTACTCAATCCTGATGTGTGCCATGGTATGTTGGGCCAATGCCAATGCCACTGGCTGCCAAGAACTGCTGGTCTATTCCTCTGCATCTAACTGTGTGCTGCCATATGCAGAACCATCCATGCCACACACCAAGCCTTGACATGGATCCTAAGCCATGTCATATCCATGACTCTCAGACTCAATCCCAGTCCAGTCTGGACCCCCAGCCCCTAACTCCAGTCAAGTCTGGTCCTAGTCCAGCCTAGAAAACCTAACTCCAGCCTAGAAAACACAACTCCAATCCTAGATAACCCAACTCAGGCCTAAATAACTCAAGTCTGGTGTTTTACCCCTATCTCTGGTCCATTGCAGCCTCCTGGCCTTGTGCTGCTCCACCCTGTTCCTCCCAGGTCCATGTCCTGGTCACCCAGACATAACTCCAGTCTGTGTTCCTTTGTTTGTACTATATTTAGCTTGGTTTGTTCACCTGACTCTGCTTACTATACAAATCCTGTGTCTGACTCTGGTTATGCCAGTCACCTGGACTTTGGCTATTAGCCTTGGCACAGCCACTGTGGCTGTCCTCACCTTGCTAATCATCTCACTAATACAGTGGCTCACAAAATTGTCCCAATGTTTGCATGTTGTTCATTAATCATGGTGTAGTGAGTGAACTATGATTATTGAGTCTGAGGTGTTGGTGGATGGATCAAAGCAGCTGGTCATGGCTCTCTGATGAGCCATATTACATAATATTTGGATAGAAACTGATGACAGAATACCCAAATGAAAATGAGAGCTCATTGGGACAATTATGTAACTTTGTGATATGCTGGGGATGTAGTCCTTGGGAACACATGTAAAAGATGATGAGATGCTCACCAATGCTTACATAATGTATCACATGGTCTACTGAATGATTTGTCAACAAACAAACAATGCCAAACAGTGATTTTGCACTACTAAGCCTCCTTGTTGTAACACAAGTCAAGAAATCACCATTCTGGCTCATCAAGGACATTCTCAGGGCAACCTCAGCAAATTCTGGTGTACACTATAGTATAATCAATATAATATGCCATCAGCACCATTGTTCAATTCAGAAACCTGCTGGCAGTTATCTCCTGCACTGTTTCCCCACCAATGCCACATGTGTCCTGGAACTAATCAGTACTGTGAGAGCTGAGAATGATGTGGAGGTCCAATCTGCCATTCATCCCATCATAAACAAACCAATCACCCATTAACTAGTGCATTTCTGTGAAGGGGAAACTGGTATGGAGGTCAGGGTGAAGCTACACCCTCTCTCACTCCAGGTACCATGGGGAGGGATATGCTACTGAGCCACCAGGTTGCACATTCCTGGCCTTCTATCTGGCAATGGATATTTCCTTTAGTCTTATATGACCAAATAACTCCTTCCCAGTGATCCCCAGTTCAGCTCAGAGTACAGTCTGGCCAACCCTCCTATGATACTGGAAGTGCCCAGGAGGGTTGTGCTTCACCTGAGCCTTCAGGCAGGCTTTTCTTGAGCTGTGATGTAGTAGTTAGTGGGTGATTGGTTTGTTTGTGATGGGATGAATGGCAGATTGGACCTCCATATCATTCTCAGCTCTCACAGTACTGATTAGTTCCAGGACACATGTGGCATTGGTGGGGAAACAGTGCAGGAGATAACTGCCAGCAGGTTTCTGAATTGAACAATGGTGCTGATGGCATATTATATTGGTTATGCTATAGTGTACACCAGAATTTGCTGAGGTTGCCCTGAGAGAATGTCCTTGATGAGCCAGAATGGTGATTTCTTGACTTGTGTTACAACAAGGAGGCTTAGTAGTGCAAAATCACTGTTTGGCATTGTTTGTTTGTTGACAAATCATTCAGTAGACCATGTGATACATTATGTAAGCATTGGTGAGCATCTCACCATCTTTTACATGTGTTCCCAAGGACTACATCCCCAGCATATCACAAAGTTACATAATTGTCCCAATGAGCTCTCATTTTCATTTGGGTATTCTGTCATCAGTTTCTATCCAAATATTATGTAATATGGCTCATCAGAGAGCCATGACCAGCTGCTTTGATCCATCCACCAACACCTCAGACTCAATAATCATAGTTCACTCACTACACCATGATTAATGAACAACATGTAAACATTGGGACAATTTTGTGAGCCACTGTAGCTTGTTAACATGTCCAGCTTTATGTTCATTACCCCAGACCAGCCTCATGTATTTAACCCCTGTACATACTTCATAGCACCTCAGTCAGAAGATCAATTTAGTATTACCCTCAACTCCATACTACATCCTGAGTCTACTCTATAGCCAAGGCTGAGCCTTAAGCTATCCCTGGCCCCTGTCCCAGACCTCTCCCCAGCTTGCATAAGTGTACAGCACATAAGCTGAGACCAAGGGAGGTAGATCCAACCCTGGACTGGCTTCCCCTTGTGCATACTCCAAGGCCAGTCAGTTTCCCATGCTACCAGCCTTGTTCCTGTGCTCCTGGCCTTAAGTCCAGTCCTCTGGACTTAACCCCTGACCTCCAGCCTTAACTCCAGTCCAACCAGACTTGGCCCCTGTCTCCTGGCCTTGACTTTGGTCACCCAGACTTAGCCCCTGGCACCCAGTCTTGAAGCCCAGTCACCTGAGGGTGAACCCATACTTGACAAGCCATTCAGGTGTGTGCTGCTGTATGTTGTGCCCATGCCACCAGCTGCCATGCATCCCCTTCAAGTCTAGCTGACTTGGCCACATTGCCAGTGTGTGCTGAGCAATCTCTGCTGGCTTCTGTGACCCTCCAAAGACCTCTGGGGCAGGTGGTTACTGCGACCAGGAGGCTGCCCTGCACTCACTGTGTTGTGAGTCTGATGGTGGGGCAATGCAAGCCAGGGCCTGCATGCCCTGCCACAAGAGAAAAAAAGGTATGTAGCTGGATCAAGGAGGACATGGTGGTGGGGCCATCATGGAAGAGAGTGGGGACAGGGAGCTCCTGAGGGGAGAAAAAGAAGAAGCTGCAAGGGAAGGGGAAGGAGAGAGTGACAGAGATGGAGGAGGTGGATGACAAGTGGGAGGCAGGTGGAGAAGATGAGGAGGAGCCAGCAACACCACATGAGGGACCCTCAGGGGCAGGGGTCTCCTCCTGGTGGGTGGAGTGGGAGTGGGAGAGGCAGCTGCAGGCTGTGGAGAGGTACACAGGCTGGACTGAGTGAGTGTGAGGCTGAGTCTGGCCAGGGTCAAGACATGACTATGACAGTTACAGTAGACACAAAGGTACTGCTCGAGGGTCTGGTTCATTCACTCAGTCTGGCCATTGCCTTCTGGGTGGTAACCCAAAGTGAAGTGAAGATGCATATCAAGGGCCTTTCCTAGAGAGCAGAAGAAGTGTGAGATGAACTCAGGACCTCTGTCAGAGGTGACATTAGCTGGTACTCCATGCTTGGAGAAGACATGGGTAAGGAAGAGCTTAGCAAGTTCAGCAGAGGTGACAGAGTCATGGGTGAGAATGAACACTGCTTGTTTTGAGAGGCAGTCCACCACCATGAGGATGGCAGAGTAGCCATTGGAGTTGGGGAGGTATTCAATGAAGTCCATGGAGATGGAGTTCCAAGGTCTCTCTGGGATGGGGAGTTGCTTCAGTAGACCATAGGGGCAGTGTTGCAGAGTTTTGCTCTGTCCACAGGTGGTGCAGGACCTGATGTAATCTTTCATGTCAGAGTGGAGGTTAGGCCACACATAGTCAGTCCCTGAAGACAAGTTCTAGGGTGTGGTTTTGCTCAAAATGGCCTGCTAGAGGATGGTCATGCTTGAACCAAAGCACTCAAAGGCAGAGATCATCAATGTCAGGGACAAAGATGCAACTGTCAAGGCAAAGCAGACCATTAGAGTCCAGGGACCACTGAGGCTTAGTTGGAATTGGGAGATGGCTGGTGGAGACAGGGTCAGAGGGTAGGGTGGAGACAATGTCAGAGTGCAAGCACTCAACATTGAAGACCATGGTGGCATGGGGCACAGGTGCCATGAGGGTAGTGGTACAGAGGGACAATGTGAGTTGCTCCTGTGTAAACACTGGGCAGAGATTGTGAGGATTTACCTGTGCATAGTCCCTATCCCCCCCTTTTGGGTAGATGTCCCAATGTCATGTAAGTGCATTGGGTTTGGCTCCTAGGTGGCCAGGTCAGAAGCAGATGGAAAGGTTGAACTGGGAAAGGTACTCCAACCAGCAGGCCTGTCAATGAGTGAGAACCTTAGAGGTGGAAAAGTACTCAAGGTTTTTGTGGTCCATCACCACATTGACAGGTAAGGCAGAACCTTCTAGGTAATGCTGCCAATGGTGGAAGGCCTCAAAGATAGCCAACAGCTCCTTGTTGTGGGTATCATAGTTGAGTTCTGGCATGGTCATGGTGTGGGAGTAGAAAGTGACTGGGCAGAGTT